CTTAGGATGCATTTCTGGGTCTTGTGATGCCTGCATTAGCTGAATGTTGCCTGACCTCCTTGATTTAAGTCCCATCTCAGGGACGGGGGATGGGAAATACATGATTCAGCACATCCCATAAAGAGAAAAATGAAACGAGAAAATAGGCAAGTCTGTGATTCAATGCAAACTTAGCAGTAATTCATTTACACTTTAAAAATATTTTCCTTTATTTAAAAAAATATTATTACTTTTAATAAAAATTTACATTCATTGTTACACTTTTCTCACTGCCCACTCCTCCCCTTCAGTTCTTCTCTTTGAAAAGTAAGAGAGAAAAAAATTCTTTCATTGTTATACAGTCCCTCCCCCCAAATCCACTGCACTTTACAGTCTTCGTTCTGAACTCCTGTCATGACAATAAAAAACTAACAAAACATAAGTGTTTTCCTTCCTGTTGTTATGTGCCATTAAGTCCCTTGCAATTCATAGGGACCCCATGTACAAGAGGCCTAAACCCTGCTCTATCCTGTGCCAACCTCACTGTCTCTGACACACCTGCTCCCATTATCCAAATCACTGAATCAATCCATCTCATCGAGGGCCTTCCTCTCTTGCACAGTCCCTCCACCCTCCCAAACATGATGACCCTCTCTAAGGACTGGTCCCTCTGTGCAACATGTCCAAAGTATGTCTGATGAAGCTTCAGAATCCTTGCCTCCAAGGAGAAGTGTGGTTTCACCCTCTTAAGGTTGAACCTGTTTGTTCTCCTAATGGTCCATGATATATTCAACACTCTTCTCCAGCACCATAGCTCAAAAGCACCAATTCTCTTTCTATCATCTCTAGTCACTGTCCCGCTCTCTGATGCATAGCACATTATTACAAAGACTGTGGCCCAGATCAGGTGCACCTTGGTCTCCAGCCTGACATCATTGTTCTTCAGTACACTGGAGAGGTCCCTGACAGCAGGCTTTCCCAGTGTAATTTGTCTCTTGATTTCCTGGCTGCTGGTACCAAGAGTGTTGATTGTGGAACCAAGCAAACTAAAACTGTTAGCACTCAATCTCTTCACCATCCATAACCTTGCTGCTAAGTCTTCCAGTGGTGAGAATCTTTGTTTTCTTGATGTTGAGTTTCAATCCATATTGAAGGCTGCAGTCCTTGACCTTCTGGAGTCTTCCTCCAATCCTGATGCCACATTCCTCCTCATAAAGCCTAGCATCACAGTTGATCCGTTCTGCATACAGAGTGAAAAGATTCGGAGACAGAATATATCCCTGGTGGAGACCCTTCCTGATTATGGACCATGTAGTATCTCCTTGCTCTATTCTGATGACTGTCTCTTGGTCCACCTATAGGTTTCGCATAAGCACAATCAAATATTCTGGGATTCCTATTCTTTTCAGAGTTAACCACAGTTTGTTGTGATCCACAGAGTCAAAAACCTTTGCATAGTCAGTGAAACACAGATAGACCTTCCTCTGATAATCTCTGCTTTCTGCCAAGATCCATTTAACATTAGCTGTAATATCCCTAGTACCATGGCCTCTTCTCAACCCAGCCTGCACATCTGGCAGTTTTCTGTTGACGTGTTGCTCCAGTTGCTTTTGGATAATTTTCAGCAGAATCTTGTTTGCATGTGATATTTAATGGTATTATTTGATAATTTCTGTACTCTGTTGGGTCACCCTTCTTTGGAATGGGAACAGATATTGATCTCTTCCAGTCAGTTGACTAACTGGAAGATTTCCCTTCTTATTCATTGAAAATATTATCTCTATCTACAACCAGGAGAAGATAAAATAGATGAATGGGACCGTCTAAGAATCAAATCCCTATGCACAGCCAAAAACTTCTCCAACAGGGTAAAAAGGGAAGCCACAGACTGAGAAAAAAGTATTTGGTAATGACATGTCAGATGAGGGTCTTATATCTAGAATTTATAAAATACTAGCACACCACAGTAAGATAAAGGTGAATAACCCAACTGAAAAATGAGCACAGGATATGAACAGACACTTCACCAAAGAAGACATTCAGATGGCCAGCAAGCACGTGAAGAAATGTTCAAAATCCCTATCTCTGAAAGAGATCCAAATCAAAACAACTATGAGATATCATCTCAACCCAGACAGAATAGCAAAATTTAACAGAACAGCAGGCAACAAATGCTGGCGAGGTTGTGGAGAAACTGAAACCCTTATTTACTGTTGATGGAAGTGTAAAATGGTGCTGCCACTGTGGAAAGTGGTGTGGCGCGTTCTCAAAAAGTTGCAAATAGAGATAGCATTTGACCCAGCAATTCCACTACTGGGAATATACCCTAAAGTGACCATAACCGACTTCCAAGCAGATATATTCACCCATATTTATTGCGGCTTTGTTCACAGTAGCAAGGAGCTGGAAACAACCCAAGTGCCCAACAAACGAATGGACAGAGAAGCTGTGGTATATTAACACAGTGGAATACTATGCTGCATTGAAAAATAAGGAACTCATGCAATATTATTATTAAAAATGTGTGACCCTGGAGGACATTATGCTGAGTGAAATATCTCAGCCACAAAAGGACAAATACTGCATGGTGCCACTGTTGTAGAATAGGACTGACATCGGGGGTTGGGGTAAGACTGAGAAAAACTGGATAAATTATGTACACTGCATTGAAACAGATGAGGGAGAGAATAATTTAAAAGCGATATATGATAGGGTATTATGGTTATCACAAGAGTCCAGAATTAAGGTTGCATGCAGTGTACTCGGGGTGGTGGGAGGGGTGTGGGGGCATTGTGTACCAAAGAAGGAATTTTGCTTTTCAAAGAGAGGAGTGAACTGGGGCCGGGGGGTAGAGGGGTAGGGGAGATGGGGTAGGGATGACTGGCAGGGAAAATAGTGCAAAAATGAATGAATGGAAATCCAAAATCTCTGTAAATGTTCATTAAAATTCATAAAATAAAATTTCCAAAAAGAAAATATCTCTGACACAAGAATAGAGGGTATTATTCTTTTTAAAAAGAAGGTATTGCATTAGGAAAGTCTACTGTCAGGGATATCTCCAGAGTACTGAAGAACTATGATGTCATTCTGGAGACTAAGGTGCACCTGGCCCAGGCTGTGGTCTTTGCAGTTACATATTATGCATCAGAAAGCTGGACAATGACTAGGGATCATAGAAGAATTGATGCCTTTGAGCTGTGGTGTTGGAGAAGAGTACTGGGTATACCCTGTACTGCTAAGAGAATGAACAGGTTTGTCCTAAAGAGGGTGAAACCAGGCTGCTCCTTGGAGACAAGGTTTCTGAAGTTTCGTCTGATATACCTTGGACATATTGCAAGGAGACCAGTCCTTAGAAAGGGAAACCGTGGTTGGGAGGGTGAAGGGATGACACAAGAGAGGAGGACCCTCAATGAGATGGATTGACTCAGTGACTGGGGTCGTGGGGATAGATGTGTCAAGAGTCAATAAGGTTGACTCCGGATAGAATAGGGCTCGGAGCTGTTGTACATAGGGTTACTATGAGTCGAAGGCAACTGGATGGTGCATAACAACAACAACAACAATAGTATTATTATATTAATAGAAAAAGAATGATGTTCACCTGTAGACTACTGGGTGGAGAGGCAAAACACAACCAAGAGGAAAAGTTTTCAACTTCATAAGAAAGTCTTCCTCCAAATTGTCCTTTAGTCCAAGAAGATAAAGGGCTCCCACCTTATAAGGTTTCTCACAATTTTTAAAAAAATTTTATTTTTATTATTATTATTATTTTGTGTGTGTATACCGTCAAATCGGATCTGACTGGTACAGGAGGAGATTGCCCCTCCTTCTCCAGGAGAGCATCTCAATTTTTCTTTTAGATTAAAAGGGCACTTCTTCCTTTTAAAGTATTATTTTAAAAATGTTCCTTTTCTTGCTTGTTGCACAGCCAGCACCCCTCTGTTAGTGGAGGCTTAGGTGTTGCCATGAAGTAGAAGGATGAGCAGTCTCCTGCATGATTTACTGCCCCTGAAAACTTACTGGAGGGAGGGTCAGCCATGGGTTGGTTCTGACTTGATGATAGCAGCAACAACATGATGTCTAGCAGGCCTCATCAGCATTTTCACACTGAAGTGAGCTAGGAAGACAGGCCTGGTGAAAGTCCTCTCTGTAACCCACCATGGGAATGGGACCAAGGAGCGTTTCATTTTGTTAAATGGACTTAACTTGCTCTTTCTCTACTTGTTAACAATTAGGAGCTTTTTGTATTGTAGTCATCAAATATGCATCTCACTTATTAAAGGGTGGCCTGAGAGAGCAGGATCTTGGTCTGTGTTTTTGTGTCCCCTATAGCCTTCTTTGCCATTGTCATCTCTCCTCTAAATAAGGAAAAAGAAATCAACAGTAGTGGGTTTCAGTGATTGTTTTTGGAAGAGTGAGGTGAGACTAAAAAGGCTGAAGATGAGTTAGAAGCCCAGGAGTCCATGCAAACACTAATGGGCTCCTATGTTCACAGATGCTGTGTGATTGATTCAGCAGCCACATTATTATGTCCAGCATGTCATTGGTGTTTTATAAGTGTTTGCCGAAAGAAGAAAGGCACAAAAAGACTGAAAAATAGTCATTAAGAACTTCTGGAAAGCTGTCCCACTTGCTCCCATAGCTCTGTTCTCTGTATCTGACCCTACCTCCCTTTTCTTTCTTTTTTTTTTAAATTTAGGTTGTTTATTTTTCATTTCAATGAACATCTACAGAGATTTTGGGATTCCATTCATTCATTGAAAAATATGGAACGCTTCACGAATTTGCGTGTCATCCTTGCGCAGGGGGCATGCTAATCTTCTCTGTATCGTTCCAATTTTAGTATATGTGCTGCCGAAGCGAGCACCCTACCTCCCTTTTCTGGGTGTGTGTGTGTGTGTGTCAAAAACAGCAATTAAAAAAAATAGATCTGCTTAAAAGCTTGGACTTTGGCACTTGTCCAAAATGTTAAAGAAAAACAAGCCCAATCAGTGACATCTCCCCCTACTTTGCCTGCAGGAATGCCGGAAGGACCATCTGTGAGGAAATTTCACCATTTGGTCTCCCCTTTTGTGGGGAAGCAAGTGATCAAGACAGGAGGTAGCAGTAAGAAGCTAAACCCTGCCAGCCTGCAGTCCCTGTGGCTCCAGGACACCCAGGTGAGTTGATTGGCAGGATTGTTAATGCTTCGCATAGATGGCATGACTCCATCAACAGGTCCTGTGTCTGCCCTGGAATTTGTCCTAAGACCTACTGAAGCCACTTCTATGTTATGTGCTCAAGACAATTACGGTAGGATTCAAGGCAACTCTTCTTTCATTTTGGTGTTTCTCAGCCAGAACTGGGCATCCTAGAAGCCTGTTAAATGATAAAAAACATGGGCATAAACTGAAAATGCTGACTGTAAGGTCTTTAGTGGCACTAATCTCTCCAAGTGGTTCTGATATACCCCTTCATCTTGGGACCCACTGTTGAATCCATGGGGTCAGTATGAAGTCTAGGAAAGCATAATTTTCAGTTCTGTTTTCAAATACAGCTTATCTTTGCCTAGAACATAATTTAAAATTATAACAGAACTCTTTATGATCTGACTTAGAAAACTAGTCTGGAGACAGTATCTGACCTATAATTTAGAAGAAGGAGAATTTAGATTTAACAGCCCAGGATTAATTCATATGAGACTGAAATTAGACCATGTCTCCACCCTTAAACCTATTTACTTTTACCAATTCTGACACCAGTTGTTCTTACCACAGCAATGTGGTAAGTTTAAGAATTCATTGCAATAGCCTCACAGAACTCACAGACAATACTTAAAATGATAAAGTATATTAGGGGAGTAATAGGTTACAGTTTAGGATCAGAAACAATCCAGGATACCTTCCTTAATCTTGGCATTTTCTTTCAGCTATGTCTGCAGATACATCTTTGTCTGCTCCTCAGTCTCTTTGTCACTTTGGCTGGGCCACTGTCCTCTCTGGATATGCATTAGCTCTGCCAGTAGGTGCCCAGAAGCACCCCACTCCATCTACAAGCCTCCTGCCCTAAGATACCCAGCTTTCTTGCTCCGTGGCCTAGGAACTTCACCCCCACCATCTCCTGCTGATCTATGCCAGCATCAGTGTTACAGCTCTTTGTCTTCTTAGTCCAAAGGACTTGCTCCATTCCTAGGTCTTCTTTCTTGAGGTCTCCATTACCACTTTGAGGATGACTCTTTTTGAGCAAGTAATGTAATCATCTTCCCTTCCTCAACTGTAAAATGGAATAACCTACCTACTTGTTTTAATTTTTCAGTAGATATTCTCTTTTTTTACTTTGCCTTGCCACCCACATACACACCATGGGTTATGATATTGTTATTAACTAGAAATGGAGGAATTCTTAAGAGACTATCATTCATGTTTTACATATTTGAAGACTCAGAGAAAGATAATAATTAACCTAAGCTGATGTAGATAGCAAGGGACAGAGATTGGACCCAAAACCTCCTGACTTTCGGGTTTATGCTCTTTTCCATTAGCACTTGACCTCTTAACAGACTGGCAAGATTTGCAGAAGAAAAGATTATGTCCTCATCTTTGGCCACCCAGCACTTATGATAGTGCCTATCTCAATGCTTGGTATCAGAAAATATTTACCAACTGTATGAGTGTACAGATGGATGGATAGTCAAAGGATGCTTCAGATGGAACTGAAAGCTCGTTACTAGTAAACAAAGGCAGATGTCAGTTAAAAGGAGCCTAAGAGAAAAGTCTGAATGAGTGTATGTGATGACAGTTGACAATAGCATGACATGTGGGTGATAAGGGCTGCTCAGGCCAATCTGTCTTTAGCTTCTTTAAACTATGAAGACATTGTGAATAATAGGATGAAAACATTGCAAAGTCCTGCTCCAAGTTAGTTCCTATCCCTAAGGAAATGAGAATTGAATGGGCAATGTAAGAAGACCTTTATATGATCAGGTAAACCATTTTTGTCTCAAAACCCAACTCACTCTTGAGCTAATTCTAATTCATAGTGACCTTACAGGATAGAGTAGAACTACCTTTAGGATTTCCAAGGCTTTGCATCTTAGCAGACCCACCTGCTTCATTTTAGTACCGTAAAGTATTTAGTCAATTTATGCTGGTAACCTTTTGGTTAGCAGCTCAACATTGAAACCACTGTGCCACCAAGACTTCTGTTTTTTGTAGGTATATTCACTGTACAACACACTGAAACACTGCCTGCCCCTGCACTGTCCTCAGAAATTATAAAGAAAAAGCACTGCTGTGTCAGGCTAACTCACTGAAGAGCTTCCTCCTTTTTTGCTGACGCTCTGCTTTATGAAGCATATCCCTCTTAATAATATGTCCAAAGTGTCTGAGACGAAGTCTCATTGTCCTCACTTCTTTTTCTTGTTGTTGTTAATAAAATTTTTTATTTTAATTGCGATTTTAATGGAAGTTTACAGAAAAGTTAGATTTTAATTCATTCATTGCTGTACATTTTACCTCCTCTCCATCCCTTCCCCCCAGTTCACTTTAAAAAAATTTTTTTTAATTTATTATTAATTTCAATGAAAATTTACACTTTGGATTTCCATTCATTCATTGTTGCACTTTTTTCCCTTCCCAACCCTCCCCCCGAGTACACTACCCTCCTGGAAAAGTAAAAGAAAAATTCTTTCATTGTTTTACAATCCCTCCCCCAGGTCCACTCCACTACGCAGCCTTTGCTCTGGACTCCTGTCATGACAAAAATACCTAATCACATATCCCTTTTTCTCCCTCATCTGTTTCAGTGCAGTATACATTATTTAGCTCATCTTTCTCAGTCTCCCCCCAACCCCCCAAGAAATATTCTTTCATTGTTGCACAATTACCTTCCACAGTCCTCTGATTCTGGGCTGTTGTGTATGTATAATGCCTGATCATATATTCCTTTTAAACTGTTCTTTCCTTCATCTGTTCCAATGCAATGTTATCTATCCACTCTTACCATGTACTAAGAAGCATTCTACCTGAACTTTTTCCAAGATCAACTTGTTCATTCTTCTGGCAGCCATGATGTCTAGCTTCCTCTAAGTTCATAAGGAGAAAGAAGAATCAAACAGCCCAAGGCTCATATGTCTAAAACAGACCTTTTTTACCAGTTCTAACACCAGCTTTCCCTCCCAGGACACTTTCTTTCCTCTTGTGCAAAATGGCTTTCATAGGCTGTTGCCCTTGATTTTGCTACATGGCTGAGCAGAAACATGCATAGTGTCTGCTAGTCTGTCTACAAGGGCATTGGCGAGTCATTCCACCAAGTTTAAATTTAAACTTGAATAGGTTCATTAGCAAAAATTTGGAAATCCCACTGTCAGCAAGGAAGAAGCAGCAAAGACTAGTGTTTGTCTTTCAGTACCAGAGATTCCTGCACCAATCAGAACAAGACATACTGGAGATCACCAACCGCAGAGAACCAGTGACTTGACAAGGGACAGAGCTGATCTGGGACTGATGCCCGAAAGAAGCAGACAAGGGCCTACTTACCCAGGCTTGCTAAACGACTGAGTGAGAGATGCCGTAATTGGCAAGCCTGAGAGAGCCTTTTAACATTTTAACATTTTAAAATTTTAACACTTTTAAGTATAAAGTCCCAAGGCTAAACGTTGAGGAGCCTGTGAACACACTTAAGATACTATCCTGATTGAGAAATTTTATCCTGTCACCAGCGTGAGTGGTAACCTGTTAACTTCCCTAATAAACTCCATCTTCCTTAGTCTGATAATAATCTGTGAGGTCTGCATAGCTATTGGCAGTGGATTTTGGACCTGGTAGAGCAGCAGTAGGATTGGCATTGGAATTAGTCTCAGTAGGTGTGGGAGCATGTTGGGAGGCATGCCTGACTTCCCAGGAATTTGGTTTGTGTTGTAGATGCTCTCGATGGACACAGTTCCCTTTGTGGAGTTAGTAGAGATTAGATATGACCATTGCCATTCCACTCTCACCTCTCACTTTATTTTGCTGTTGGAGTCAATAATTTGTTGTAATGGCTACACAGAATTCAAAACCATATTCATATTATGGGGCTTATTAGAAAAGGAACAGGATAATGTTTTTCTTATTAGGGAAGTAATAGGTAGCTCTGGTGGCCTAGTAGTAAGAAGCTATGCTGCAGTTTCAGTGACATGTGATTTGAATCCACCAGTTGCTCCAGGGAAAGATGGGCAGCCTCCTCTTGTGAGATTTACTGCTTCTGAAAACTTGCTAGAGGGTCAGTTGTGGGTCGGTTCTGATGGCACACAACAATAATAGGACACAACCCAGGATCAGAATCAACGTAGAAAACAGGAACAACTAAGAACAGTTCTTAATCAGGATATTTATTCTCACCTTCTACCAATGAGTCCTCCTCAGAGCTTTCATGAGAAGTGTTAAACAGCTCTTAACAACACAGGTGAGAAAGCTGACCTCCTCCAGTTGCCTAGATGCTCCCCACTCTGCCAGAGAGCCATAGGTTCTTGACTTCCTTCCCCTATATACTGAGAAATCCATCATGCTGTCATCTCCTGTTCCCCTGCCTCTGCCCCACCATTTCTCTACCACTGCTTCTCACTATTGTTACTGTCTTCTCTGTTACAACTTGCATTTTCTTTATCTCCATTCCCATCTTCTCTCCTCTCCCTTCCCTTTCCTTCCTTCTTCTCTGCCCCATCCCCTCAACTCTCTTACTCCTTCTCCAGCCGCTCGCTGTCTCCCCAGTCTCTTCCCCGTCTCCTCTCTCCGTCTTCTGGGCCTGGGAGGTTCCCATTACAGGGACCCTAAATCCAGAGATCTGATCCAAGCCATTAATGGTTTTATTCGCTTCCTATGCATCTGGAAGTTGACAGTGAGTACGGAAAATCAAAGGAAAATGGTTGCCTGTGAGTTGTGCTGTTGGCAAAAGTTGTTGTATACACCATCCAGCTTGGAAGCTGTTCAGAGTGCTGCTCAGAGGCAAGGATGATGAAACTTTGTCTTACATACTTTCGGCATGTTGTCAGGAAGGGCCAGTCCTTGGAAAAAGACATTATGCTGGGAAAAGTAGAAAGTTGGCACAAGAGAGGAAGACTCTCAGGGAAATGGATTGACACAGTGACTGTAACAATGGGCTTAAGCATGGTACAGATTGTGAGCAAAAGGCATGATTCATA